TCCGAGTTATATATAATACTATTAATTTTATTTATTTAATGTTATTTTCTTTAAGTATACTATTGTAAAATAATAACTGTGTAGAGTTGTTTAAGCGCCATAAACTTCATATAATCAATGTTATATTTTGGCAATATCAATATCCGTTAATTTTTATTGATGCTATAAAAACTTTTACTTAAAGTTTCATTTGTTAACATTATTGCCAACTCAAGGCCTATATTTTGAATTTTTGTCATATAAATGTATCTCTAATTTTGAAGTATCACTTGAAATTATAGAATATAAAAATATATATTATTTATTAAGTACTATCAATGAGTATAGTCGGTGTAGGTTTTATTTGTATCTTACAAGTAGAAAAGTAAAAGTGCCACTTTAAAATACGTGTAAGCTAATTTATTACGTTCCAATAATTTTTCGAGTATTTTACACTTAATTAGTAATAATAATTGGTACTTAAAATACCAATTATTAACCATAAAGTAAAAGATTAAAAAAAATAACTTATATAATTTTTGCATACTATTTAAGTATTTCAGAGTTTTTAGAATTAAGTAAATATACTTTTTAAAAATGTTGTGCTACAAGGTTTTAATTAATTTGAAATTATTTTATTTTGAATAAAACGTCGTCACTATTTCATAGTAAAACATAAATACATTTAAATAATATATATATTATTTTAAAATTAAAAAGGTCTGCCGATGTCTTTAAAATGGAAATATTTTATTCGGATAATCTCATGATCTATAATTAAACTAACGGTTTGCCAAAACTAAAATGTATCGTTTTTGATGAACAGGTTCTTACGGAAATAAAAATTAAAACCAATTTGCATGTTTGAAGTAAAGCCAATTTCATTAAAAGTAGATATCAGTTTATTTATTATGATACAATCGTTAATTACTTATAGGTACGTCTATATTTTAAACTAGAATACTCTAAGAGTGCACTCGATTCGTCTATAGTCGCATTAGTAGCCCGAGGGAAGTTATTAAATGTTTCAACGGAATTGTTTATGTAGTTTGTGGCGAACATACACAACGGATACTAACAATTTTTAATGGTGTGTAATTAGTGGTAGGTTGTTCACTCGAGCAACCGCAGCAATGGTTCAATGTCACAACTACCAGCTCGTTTATTATATTCAATTCTTATTTCTTGTATATACACAACAGTTTTATTTTCCTGACACGTCACCTCTGGCAAAAGAAATAAAAAAACTACTTAGCGGAACAGATAAGATGTATCATAAAATACCTTCTGTACGATTGGTAACTGCTTTAATTTACAATGATTTAATTTACTTCTGCGTTTAAAAAAATCTATAATGGTTTTAAGCGTTATTGTAATAGTTTCAATGGCAATTTAAAGAACAAAATGTAAAATGCCTAGTATTTTTAAGTACAGAGTGGTCAATAAATCAGCAACACTAGTTTTTTTAAATTATAATACCAAATAAATAACAGCCAATTAGAGGTAAATGAATAATAGTTTTTTTGTTCGTTACAAATAAAAAAAAGACATTAATAAAAATGATACTAGTGTAATACGTAAAAATTATTGTAGCGAATAAAGAGTTTCTATAGTTCTGGTTGAGTTTAAATGAAACAAAAATAAAATTGCATGTGGACACGATAATAAATGAAAAGAGAAAAAAATGTTCGGCGCTAAATCAAATACGTTAAATTTGCTAGAAACGAGACTTTACCATTTTTAAAGATTACTTTTTTCCTTTGGTTTTCTATTCGATAATAAAGATTTATTGAAGTTGCCTCATTTTGCTCAGCAGAGTTGTTTTTTTTTTTAATTCTATTTTTTTTTTTTTGTATGGCTATTATGAGTGCATTTCCAAGTTTGTTTTCCGCTTTGAAATAACACCACTCGATTATTATTGTTCATTAAGAAAAAAACGTTTTAATAAAAAAGAAGAAATATATATATATATATATATATATAACTATATATATATATAAGCAATCTTGATCAAAGCTTCTAAACGATTGTGAAATTTGCCCAATGTCATTTCAGTTTTGTCTAACAAAGAAAATAGGGATTCGCAATTCCATAAAGCGCGTCCCTATTTTTCTTCGTTTTTTATTTCCAATATTATTCTCATGTCGACATTGTTCTTTGTGTACACAAAAGGCAATATTTTTTCACCCTTCATCATATATGAATATTAAAATAGCATGAGCTCAAAACATCTGATCTTTTTTTTTTTCTAAAAATGACAAAACACTAAAAAGATTTTATGTATGATTTAAAATAAATATACCTTTTATATATTAAAATAAATTTTAACGCAACATGGATATACTTTGAAATTATCTAACTAATATAGAAAGCTCTTAGTATAGAATCCAATAATTTATTATATTTTTATATAATTAATTAATTTATATATATATTTATTTTACTATATTTTATATATTATACTCCGCGAATACTTCAGCGCATAATAATTATAATTTATTTTACAGCGACAACAACATTTTTTCATGTAATATTTATCTCGAGTTAAGTTTGGCTATATAAAAAAATAATTTAGTGTTATCATGATAATGAAAAGGTTAGGATGACTAAACTAGACGTGGGTTATAAATTGTAGGTCTTTTTTAGTCTTTTAGCTTTTTATATTATAAAATATAGCAACAATAATAATCCATTTATCCCCGTAACATCAGTGTTTAATATATTATATTATTTTATGTCACTGAATAAACATTTAATATATTTTTTCTTAAAATATAGCTTATGAAGCTTATCACAGTTATTTTCCGAGACAGTATAATAAACATACTTGCTATTATTTTTTTGAATTTACTATAATACTCAATCAAGATTTTACTAAAGGATTTTTTCGTTATATATAATAGTAGCATCAAAAAAATGTAATAATATACTAAGTATTAAATACAAAAAATTACAAACGAACTTTTGTTCGTTTTAAGGACAATAAATTAGTAAAACAATTAAACTGTTTTGATATTTGAAAATAGTGAAATAACCTCTCGATGTGTTTTGTGTAAATTTAATTTCCAGTCTGATAACAATACAATATTCTAAAAATATTGTTGCGATTTTGTCTAATTAAATAATTATTAGAAAATTAAGTTGAAAACGTTTTCATTTTATTACAATAAAGCTAAAACATAAAGTATATTAGGTCATAAGAAACTATTTAAAAAATAATTTTTATATATGGATACCTTAACAATAAATCAAGTAGCCTGAATTTATCGAGACTGAGAAAGTTTTAAAGAGATCACATTGTTTTACAACTTTCTTGCTATAACACTAGACTAACAAAAAATAAAATAACAAACATGTTGGATATGAGTAAATTGTTCTTTTGACTATAACACACAATTCAAGTTTGTAAAAAAAAATATCTACATCTATTGTTTTTGCTATTGATATATTTTCTTTGTGCGTATGTTATCTCCATTTCCAAGCATTATTTTAGTGTTACACTTTCAACATGAAAGTAGTACATACTAAACACAATATATGTTTAGATAGATTTTGTAACAATTCAATATTTAAAGAATAATAAACAATAAAAGTTAATTTTATCTGATTACATAAAAAATACTTAATTCGTTTATATCACGTGATTTTATAAAAAAATTATATTTTATTTAACGGCTAATGTATGTATATTAATAAATGGTTATCATTACAAAAACTATTGTAAATTATTTCGACGATTTCTTTAACTCACGATTAAATCTGTGACAGATAAAGGGATTACAGTATCTCTGGATAATTTCTTACTCATAAAATGTAGTCATCCGTAACTGAGATTCCTTGCTAACGACAGTTCAAACTTACTACCATCACTTACCTACTTATCTACTCAGACAAACAATCCCTCGTAGACATTGCATGTCATTATTTCACGAAACTTTAATAGCAGTGTACTTTATTAGTTTGCATATTGTACAATATTTTCCAATTACTATTTGAACTATTAATAGTAAACTATTTGAAGTTCTATAATCATTAATTTAATTCGAATTGGTGTTCTACGGTAATTACTTGCTGTTTCTTAAGCACACAATCCATTTGATTTCCACAGTATTACTTGAAAGGAGTGAGATAATATAAGTTATATTCGAAATGATATTGGAAATTAAAAAAAATGACTATAAAATGTATGTATATTTTATTTTAATAATGAATTCATACAACAATGGTTTACTCAGAATCATAAAATGTATAATTAATACGAAATTATTTATTATAATAAATTTTGATACAAACAATTGTAAAGTAAACATTATACAGTTTCAGAATAAGATCCGAAAAAATCAACATACAAAATGGGTGGCTTTAAAAAAAATTAAAAGTAATAATATGTTAAGCAATCAATCAGATGATTACCGTTACTCAGAAATCCAGTGACTAGCTGCTGTCGTCATGTGGCTGATACATAATTACACGTCAAAATTCAATTTGCTTGTTCATTTCTGTACATTTATTTCAAACCCTTCTCCCTTACGTTATCGTTGAGACATCCGACGTCAGGCGATTGTAGTTTTGAAAAATCGTTTTTTTTTTTCATTCTTCCATTTTGTGTACACCATAAATATTTCGTCCCCTTATTCTTCGTCAAATTAACTCCTACACCGGAATAAAGATATCCTGTTTAATTTACATTATTACTACCACAGTTCTTCCGCTTTTCGTAATTATGATTGACCAAACATTTTGATGGATTATCATATAGCAAAAACAAATAGCTTATTGTCAGTTGGTAATTTTTTTATTTTCATCGTCGACTTATTAAAATATTAGAAGAGAAGAAATAAAAATGCATAATAACAAGTCATATAATTGTAACAATTTTTTTTAAACTAAAGAACATTGAAATTCATAATTAAAACTATTTTATTAAGTCTGAGATATTCTTTTATTTTTATATGATCCACCCTATAAAAATACTAATTTGAAAAACTTCAATTTTTGTTTATATTTTTTTTATTTCATAGCGTTCATTGTAATTGTACAAACGGCTAGCATAGCTAACTTCTACTACATTTAGTAAAACTCCAAACCATCACCTACTGCGTGTCTTTATTCTAAAGAAGATATGAATTTTCTTTGAACAAGAGCAATTTTAACAAACCAGCAAATGTAAATAATATGCATCGGTCGTTCCGGAATCTACTCGGAATTTCTAGTCACGCTTGTCGTGGAAGCAGATGGTCGAAACAAGTATAAAAAAGAGAAAAAACAATTATAAAAGCCAAGATGTTTTTTTTAATTAGAAAATTAAAATAATATTGAATCTATGCAGTTCAATATTAGAAAATATGGACTGAAAATATTTAATCTAATAAAAAATGTATAACTGTGTAAAATATAGTTGTAATATATTTTTAAACTCAATATTACATAACTGTTGAAATTAAATATTTCAAATCATTTGTTACGTTCTTAATTATAGTTTTTTTGCATTTAAGTATTTCATGGTAATAAAATTTTACAAGAATATTAGTTATAGTTAAACCGATTTTTTGAGTTTTTAATTAATAAAAAAATATACCAGAAATAAGTTAATTGATAATAAGCAATTTTAAATATATATAATGTGTTCAGTAAGTAACGAAACGGGTTTCTATTATTCTCATTGTTTGTAACAATTAACCTGTTTCCTTACTTACTGAACATTCTGTATACAATCTATCTAAAAAGTCTCCGGAATGAGGTGATAAAAATTGTATTCATGGCGTGATTTCTATGAAATGATAAGCATTAAAGTTAGAACCCTTTAAGAAACACGCAAGCCAAGTTTCTACTTGAATTTTTTGTAGTTGGACGGCGGATTCAGTTAAGGTATTTAGTGTCGATGGGTTATGAATCAAACATGGATAATTCAACGTGCAACCAAAAAATTTTGTTTTAAAACTATATTATCCACAAAAAATGCGTTCAAAATTGTACAAAAAGCGAATGGTCAGTTGGGATTAAAGAAAATGGCCGTTTACGAGTGGTTTAGTCGGTTTCGAAATGGTTGAGAGTGTGTGATTGACAGCGACTAGGTTAGCATCCTTGTAAAGACAATGCTAAATTTGTTTTCCGACTACTAAAGGGTTGTTCATAAATAATTCTTGACATAGAATACTACTGTGATCAGTACATTCTATATAGGTGTTTTGCAATGACTTTTAAAACTCATTGTCCTCGTACGCTCAGAAAAATTTAAAGATCGTGATTTGTTCACTTTGCATTCAATGCACTCGCACACAAAGTAGCTATTTACTATTAAACCATAAAGGATGTCAACTTCAAATTTTTCAAACGGGAACAAACATAATTAACTAATTTATTTAATAGATAATGATATAATTAGGAATACATAATTTGACCAATAAAAAATTTTGGACTCGTATTTCGGAAGTAATTGACATTTTGTTTACCTTGGTGAGAGGAAGAGTACGATGAGAAAATTATTAGCGATAAAAATAACAACGCCTACTCCTCACCTCCATCCAACACTACAAAATGTCAATAACTTTCTGGTTTACAAGTTGTTATCGACCCGTCATTTTCTTAATTATATCATTATCAATTATATACTAGCTAATTACGTGTTGTCATTTAAAAAATTAAAGTTGACACACTTATAAGGTATAAAAGATTAACATAATAAATACTTCACAAATGATTAATTTAGAAAAACATGTACCGAAAAGAATCCAAATAAAAAATTCTTAACATTATTTTTAAAACATAATTTTTAGTTAATTAGTGGTTCATGATAAAAGAATCGCTCTGTATATTTATATACACAGACTATACATTACATAATCTGTGGTATACTATCATTTTTATCTTTCTTGACCGATTTTTTTCCGGTAATAATATTCCAAACGAATAATAAACCATTAAATGTATGTTTATTCAAAATTAATCATTGACAAAACTAATTTAATTAGACAAAACTTGTCCATAATTAATCTAGTCTATCAACTTTTCAAATATTTTTTAAACTGGCAAATTGAAAATAGCTCTATGCATGTAAATCTTGACTAATTACATAATCAACATTTTATCCATTTCTCTAATTTAAAGATGAATAATGCCTTAATGTAAATAAAACACCATGTTTAAATGTTAACATTAACTATATTATTAAGGAATTAAAATTAATTTCAAAATATTATATCTTATTAATATTTTAATCTACTATAATTTTTTTTTCTATTACATATCTACTCTCATTTCAAGAATGTTCAATTAAAAACAATATAGAAACATTGTGATTCACCATTTCATTTAAATATATATACTTAAATTTAAAATTACTTATACCTTTTTAATGTATATTGTGTACAGATTATTAATCGAATATTTAGTTATTTATAACCCTAATATGAATCGTGGGATATTGAAGGCGTTTCCAGTTAACACACTCAAATATATGCACCTGTGTATGAATTCATTAAAACCTATCGTTTTTAACGTACAACACATAATAATCAAACTACTGGTTAATAACCGGGTGAACATAAAAAAGGGTCACTAAGTTGTTAAATAAATGTATTATTAAAGATATCCTAGTGGTTATGATAGGCTTAAAATTATCTAAATAGTCCTATAGGTAAAAAAGCATAATAAGTTATATTAAATAAATTAAATGTAATTAAATGTATAATAAAAAAAAATGAAAATTCAAGTATTCAGCTGAACAATTTATGCTTACATGTAAACACTTATAAAGTAAATCAAAACAAGTTAACTATTACATCTGTTCATTTATTCAGGTATTTATTTGGTATCTTTAAAAATATAATGTATATTAAAAAATTTTTTAATTTATATTTTTAAAAATATTGAATGGTGCGTAATTAAAAATTTATTTTGTATAGTGTTGCTTACTTCTTTTTAATGAAAAATTATTATATTTTTCGATAAAATATTTGTATAAAATACATACTTATTCATTCATATCAAATAAAAAAATGTCTCCAATTATATATTATTACCCTAAATTATTAATACGACAAAAAAATATTACTTAGAAAATATGATAAAACATTGTTTACGTAAGTTCTCAAAAAAACTTTAATCTATTTATTTAAACTTATTTTTACAATTTAACCTGTTGTTCACATCAAATATAGTTTTATTTAACTAAAGTGTACTACTACTTCAAAATTCTGTAATAATACATGTATAGATGAAGTGTTACATTTCAAAAAGCTCTATCAATCAATGACGTGACTTTTATACTAAAACAGTTCTTTTCCAATTTTAAGTTATAAAGAAGGAATATAACTTTTAAGTTTTCAATTAAATAATTTTCTTATAATAAAATGTTAACTCTTTTATAAAAATTAATAATTCTCTGTAATAAAATATAATTATACATTCTTATTATAACCTAGTAACTAGGTCCTAGTTGAACATATTTTTATCACAGATCTAATTTTTTACAAAATATGCAATAAAATATCAACATTTAGCATTTGAATATTAAAACTTAATAATAGTTGTGTTGATAGCTATACAATATATTCAACTTATGATCTATTATAATTTAAGCCATAAAATTACTATATTTACTTTCTTTATTTGCCCATTTATTCGACAATGTCATGTACCGTTGCCATGCCTGAGGATATTAGAATTAATAATGTTATTAAAACAAATATTTCCAACTTAAATTAGTTATCACTTTTATAGTAAAGAAATTATATTTTGTTATGTTAATTTCACAATGAATAATATATATAAAAAAACCGATAATAATAATACATAGTAAATTACAAATGTCACACCAAAAACAACAGTTAAACAGATTTAAAATAACGATCATTTGTAATTTATTGTTATTTTTTTAAATGAAAACCAATGGAATCATTTTCTAATATCGAAGAGTTTATTTCATTTATTTCGAATCGGTTCGATGGAAAAACAAAATAAAGCATGAAAACTATAAATTACTTTTGTCTAATGGTATTATAGCTATTTGTTTAATGCAAACTTTGACTTTTTGACTAACATGAAGTTGTACTGTTATACATATTTAGCTTTGAGAGCTCATAACTGTATTACATAAAACAGATATAGCGTATAGTATTGTTAGAAAATTACCTATAACAAATAATAAAGACAAAAAGTGCTAACAAGTAATTTTGAAAATACTCACTCATTTTTAGTAAGGTTAATATAAGAATAATGTTAAGAGATTCGCCGTCGAACAATACTGTAATAACTACTAACTAAACCTAGCTGTTTACATAATAGGTACAAATGTATAAAATATTCTATTGTTAACAAAAATTTTAATTAAAAACTTAAGTATTTGAATTTAAACAGCACAAGAATTAATTACACTAAAAAGTAACAAGTTGTTTTATCCTATATTTAGTATCATAAAATTAATTTATATATAAGAAATGTTAATAATTATTACTCATGATATTTCAAACAATTTTAACTAATTTAAATTAAACCAGGAATATTTAAAAAAAAAAACCTTTTTTTTTTTAATTATATAAAAAGTTTAAATTACATTTTTACTTGTTTATAAAGAATGATTGTTTAAATATGACTCGTACAATTTTCTTTAAAGTATAAAACATTATCATTTTTTCTTTTCAGATATTCATATTATTTTACCTTTTGGACCTGGAAGTTATTAACACTTTAATATAAAGACTGGATGCAAAGCGCGTATTTGTTTTTTTTATCTAGGCATTTATGAACTGCACTACATCTTTCCTCCTGGTATAAAAATTTGAATGTCTTTTGAAATACTGATACAAAAGTCATTATTCACCGGTCATTTTCTTAGGTAGATCATGTTTTATTTGTAAGTTGGTTAAAAATTACATTTAGTTCAACTTAAAAAAGAAAATCTGATACATTTTTAAGGGGGCAGTAGGAGGATACAATTAATTTGTTTTTTGAAAATCAATGAACGTAGGTTACTGTATAGATTACGTAGTGGATCGTCTCAAATGGAAGTTTGGTATAGGAGTAACTGACTACGCAATTGGAATAAAAGCGATGGAATAGAAAAAAAAGAAGATAGAATGTATGTAACTATTAACATATAGAATTGTAACATCAGAAAAGAAAAAAATAT